GAAGAGGAAGACGGCGCGCTCGTGGCGCACCCGCCGCACCCCGAAGGCGCCCCCCCGCCCCCCCCCCCCCCAGCTTCCCGATAAAATCCCTCTTCCCTGCTGCTGGGAGTCCCAGTTTTGGGGAGTGAACTGTGATATGACAGAGAACTTCTGGTACACTAGTGGCAGAAGTAGTGTTGTATTTGGTCAGCCCAGGGACCAGGAGAGAGCATGCGCTCTCCTCTCACAGCTATACGAGAACAGGCATTCCTCCTGACTAACCAACCAGCCAGGAAGCTAGAGCATTGTGTTTTTAACTGCCCAGCTGGGACACGTGCCCTGCCTTGGAGATGGCCATATTGCCCATGCGGGGCAGCCCCCAACTCATCAACCGCCACTACAACAAATTAACTGCTCTGTGGGCTGTGTTCTGCTCCTGGGCTATATTCATCAGGGAGCTGAAATACACAATGCTTCTAGCTTCCCTTTTTGTTAAAAAATGTAAGGCCTTTGTTTAATTAGATGCTAAACTGCATTTGTGCTGAACAGCGGTGCAGTTGGATGTGCTGCTTCTCCTGTCCAATTCAGAACTGCATGCATTTCACTCTTTTCATCGCACTGTGGAAGAAACTGTAAATAAGCTGGAAGCCACTCTGTGGCAGTCTCTCCTTCCATGCCCCGGGATTTAAAGCTGAAATAGCTATTAACAAAATTATGACTTATTTACTAATCACAAGTTTGAAGTGTCTGGAAGGACTCACATACTTGCATTTAGAAATGTTCTGTTGCTTGCTACTTCATGTAATTTTATTTGTATTTTAATGCTAGCTGTATGATTTCAATTATCATTTAGTTTTACAGCTGTTAATTCTATTACACACATGAAAAGTTGCAGAGATCTGGAATAAAGTAAGGAATAAAGTAATATGTGAGTCCCACATAGCTTAATGCTAGCTGTATGATTTCAATTATCATTTAGTTTTACAGCTTATAATTCTATTACACACATGAAAAGTTGCAGAGATCTGGAAAAGTAAGGAATAAAGTAATATGTGAGTCCCACATAGCTGCTTTAGAGATATACTAATTGCCCCACATGGCTGCTTTTTAGAGATACTAATTTCTGAAAACACCACCACTTTCTACTCCCTATTGCACAGCTCTTTTTGGCCATTTTTAATATGAAATCTCTTCAAAGCACCATAATTTACTCAATCACCTAGGTTTAAATTCTGCCAGACACAGATTTTTTTTTTAATGAATGTAATGTTCCAGAATATTTATTTTTAGAACTGTAGTGTATTCTGCCTTCTTTTTAAAAGTCCCCATTTAATATTAACTTATTGACATTTAAATGTTTAATCTATTTACCTTACTTTACACACACTCTTCTGAACCAGACTTGGCTTTAAAAGTGAAATTTCACACAGAGCGAGAACCTTTCTGTCTAGCTGCCAAGGCATTTTGACGTTGCAACATTCCACAACAATGACAGGTCACAGTAATTAGCATTTGGGATTTTTTGGGGGGGTTTGTTTTGTTTTGTTTTGAGAGCACACATTTGCTGTGTGAAGTAATCAACATGCGCCTTAGCTCACAGCAGGATACAAAAATACTCTTAAAAACTAAAGAGGACTTCAGCCGAAATTCCTTGCCTCCTGTCAAAATGAAAAGTAATGATCAGTAAGTTGAAGACTGGACCCTTTGCTTTACAAGTGACAGATTCAAGTTTATTGCAAGCAATAGATTAAAGTTTATATCAATTTCCAAAAGATTTGGGGTAGAAAGGTGCAATTTAACTGCTATTTGATATTCATCCCCACCACAGAACTCCACTGAATTTTGGCATACACTGCTGATGCAGCAAGAATGCAACAGCTTTGAAATCCAACAGGCTTCAAAATCTAGTTGCAGCAGCCAGGGTTTCCTTCTCTATCTGCCGCCATCCTAGTCACAAGACTTCAGGGTGGCCGTGTAACAGGACTAGTTGTCATCTTTATACAGCTTTCCACAGAACACATTCAGGGCATCTTCCAGGTGACTGTCTGAATACCGATCTTGCACAGGATTGCCAGAAACTTGGCAGAAAAAAAGAAAGATTTGGAATAAAAAATGTGCTGCTAAATGATGAACTGACAGTTTAAGAAAATAATTTGCAGATACTGCATCATGGGTCATTAAAAGAGAGGAAACAAGGATAAATCCCTGTGTGTAAATTTACAAGGAAGTGAAACATACAGAAATTTCAAACTATGTGTTAACCACTTAACAGAGCTAGTGTATGCTTCCGTTCCGCTCTCTTTCTCCCACAAGTTCTTTCCAGTGCTGTACTTCTCTACCACTATCTCAGCTGTATCAGCTTTGAAATGCTGATAAAATAATAAAAACTTCCAATGGAACAATCTGAATTTAAAGCTGTAATACAGTATTTTTAAAGCAGGATTGAAAGGTCCAATAAAAAGTTCTCAAACATTAATAATTCATACATGTATTTAACTACTTCCCCCTTCCACAAAATCCAAGTCAGATATATATTACTCAGTGTTGCAAAACAGAAAAGGAAGCAAAGAACCCTGGGCTTTGCAATTTAAGTTAACCTTAAATTATGACAGTTAACAAGCAATTGAAATAAATCCCCTTTGTCTGCAACATAAATATGCATGAAGTATTGTTCATGTGCTGCTTACAGAATTAATTTTTTCCTTCGTCTCACCTCAAAAGCAAGCTGGAACAGAAAATAGAATGAACAAGCCAAATAAAAATCTGAGGAAAACTTGAGATGGAAAAGTATCTCATCGGTTCCCCAAGCCTTCATTTAACCTGTGATCTAGTTTAGGAACCAAACGATGTACATCGTTTTGGGGAGGCAGAAGAAGAGCTTAAGTGTTATGTCACATGGTCTGATTTTCCTGATGCAAGCAATCAAAGCTCATTTGCAAGGTGGAAATGAGCTTTGATTTGCCAGATACACCTATGACCAAAAAAAGAAGGGGGCACCTAAAGTAATTTTCTAGAACAGGAAGATATTTTGCCCATTTGGGGAAAGGTGATTCAGAATCAAGTTTTGTCATTCAGAAAGCAAAACAATCTAACTGAAAGTATATTCTGAACAAAGTTTTATTAGTAGCTTCAAAATTCAATGATGAAGACAAATGCTGTGGAAAGCAATTTTCTTATCCTGTAAGAGAACAATATTTTCCATATCTGGAGATGGAATGCCAAAAGATTTTAGGGTATTTTCCAGAGAATACTGTATTGGGTTTGTGTGGCAAGGTTTTGGCAGCAGGCGTGGCTATAGGGGTGGCTTCTGTGAGAAGCTGCTAGAAGCTTCCCCCCCATGTCTGACAGACAGACAGCTCCAAGATGGACCCGCTGCTGGCTGAAGAACTGGAGGCTGGGGGAAGGAGCCACATCGGAGAAGTTAATGGAGGACTGTCTCCTGTGGGAGGGACCCCACGCTGGAGCAGGGGAAGAGTGTGAGGAGTCCTCCCCCTGAGGAGGAAGGAGCGGCAGAGACAATGTGTGATGAACTGACCGCAACCCCCATTCCCCATCCCCCTGCGCTGCTCGGGGGGAGAAGGTAGAGAAAATCGGGAGTGAAGTTAAGCCTGGGAAGAAGGGAGGGGTCAGGGGGAAGGTGTTTTTAAGATTTGGTTTTATTTCTTATTATCCTACTCTGTTTTTATTGGTAATAAATTAAACTAATTTCCCCAGGTCGAGTCTGTTTTGCCCGTGACGGTAATTGGGGAGTGATCTCCCTGTTTTTATTTTGACCCACAAGCCTTTCGTTATATTTTCTCTCCCCTGTCCAGCTGAAGGGGGAGTGATAGAGCGGCTTGGTGGGCACCTGGCGTCCAACCAGGTCAACTCACCACAAATACCAAATTTTTGATGCAATAAAAATGGTGGAAATGGACAAGGGAAAAAAGAAGGCTGGAGTATTAACAGCTGTAAGCATATTTATTTTTTAAAAAACTGATGTACTGCATTTTCACTAGTATTACTAATGTAACTTGAAAGATCATGGGAGGACCAATGCTGATATAGCGAATTGCAAAAATTCTCATACTAGCTTCCTTTAAACTTCTCCATATTACACCTGAAAAAAATATCCCCACATTCCCCAATGATATAAGTTTATTTATTAAATGATTCTTATGATTTGTGAAGGCTGAAGCAGAAGACAATTCAAGGACTCTATATGAAAAAAATGTAAGCTATTATTGTGCTTCTAAAAGTAAAGAAACAGCGTTAAAAAACATCTATTTTGCTGTTGTCAAATGTCAAAGGTGCCAAGGAACACCACCACCAGAAAGGTTTTCAGTTAAAAATCTTTTGGCTATGTCCTTCCCAAGAAACTTAAGACTTAAAAATAAAAATTTAAGGAATGTAGAATTGTACACTTTGCATTTTTACAGTATAGAATGAAATGGAGATACACTTTTTTAACTATGTCTTGCATTTTCCTTCTGGCATTCAGACATTCATTTTCATTCTTCCTGCTTTTGCTTGAACTAAATAGGCTGGATATTGCATCTCTGATTCTCTCAGCACTTAAAAGACCACAAAGTTCTGAACAGTTTATTTAGATTAAGCCCTTCACCTCTTAAATTTCAGGCAGATTATCCTCCATTGATGTCACAGCTCTAAGAAAAAGCATCTTTTTGGCAGAAAAATCCCAATTTGGTTTTATTTCAGTAACAATCAAGACACACCTTTAGAAAAAAATACTAACATAAACCACAAACTTCTAAATTTTTCCAAGCACACTTAAAAAAAAAAAAAAAAGGTTCTCATTTGCCCTTTTGCATTCAGCAATAGCTGTTCCTCTCATCTCTGTTGTTCTAAAATGAGAGAGGCAGGCTGTGTAACACCTCCTTCCTGAACACTAAAAAGTCTCAGCAGAAAAATAAGCAAACATTGATCCATCTAATGATACCAATTAAATTTGTGAGGTTTGTTTCTGCTTCAGCTGAAGCAGAACTTGACCGACTCAATGCACTTTATGCCACTGTATCTTGTGGTCTAAGCCCTGCACATCTTACACTAAGGCTGATCCACCAGTTGCTCCATGAGGATGAAAACTGCATTCAAACACTGAAGTTAATGCGCTTCTATGCAGGAGTGAATCTACATGAAACAACCATCAGACCGATGGCCTGAGTTCTTAGGAGTTCAGATCTACAGGCAGAGAGAAGAGGAACAGGCCAGGAGGGGTAAGGACGAAAGCTCGCCGTTTGGCTGTGCTCCCTTTCACAGAGACAGAAGCCCCACGAAGTTGCGGTTTTCCATCCTGGTCAGCTTAACAGTCCCAGTTCAGCTCACCACAGTATCTAGAATCCACACTTGGGTTCCTACCATGACATCTCAGTTACACTCCCCCAAGCCCCCCCTGTACACAGAGACAGAATATTCACAAGCTTTTTCTTTAAGTTGAGCCTATGCTAAATGCATACACAAGCTCAGACACAGCCAGTCCATTGATCAAGGTTTCTCACAAACCACAACAGGCAACCAAGATTTATTTTCCCCTAATCATGTTGCATTCTGTGAAGAACACAGAAAAAAGACAGTAGCTAAGCTGCTTCCTAAATGAAATTAAAAAAGCCTTCCGTACTGACCAAAGGTGCAGGATTGAAGAAGCTTTTTCCACTCCCTTGTGCAGGAGCCATCCTGCAGGTATTCCTACTCTTCTCAGTAATACTAAACCCTGCCATAGGCCACTAACTGCACTGCAGAATTTGGACCACCCAAATCCTGTTGCATCCCAGTGCTGTCACAGAACAGCCCTCCAAATGCTGTGCTGCCACTGTGCCCTTAACTCTGATCTGAACAGACCCCTGTGAGTGAGAAGAATGTTTCATCTGTCCTGGATATGAAGGCTTCAGTTAATATCTGCTACAAGCATAGTGCTATTTTTGCTTTGTGAGCAGTCTCCAGACACAGCCATGCTGTGACCATCCATGACTCTCAAAAAATAGGGAATACAATGGCAGCTGGTTTGGTTTAGCCAGTAGATTCTACTTCAGACCAATGCTGGCTACCGTTTGGAGAGCTGGGTACAGAAAATGGAGGAGGCAAGTTCCCTTCATGCTCTTGCAGTTTGTTAACAGATTTTGAAGAATAGTGGAAAAGTCAAATGTGTTTTTCTGATTATGTTTTCTCCTCCCTTAATCTTTTTCTCCTTCCCCTTCTTGAATGGTGGGCACAACAACTCCGCTTGCTCTTTACACTCTTACTTCCCCCCTTAAACCATTCTGAATGGAGGCACAGATTCAGATTTTCAATCATACACCACAGTGCTGAGCTTTCTGGCAAGCTTCTACCCATAAAATGGCTCTTGCTACCACATGCCAGATATTTTACTGGCAGATTTTGCAAGACATAATTCTGATGGCAATTATAAAGCACCCAGACTCCCTTGATCTTATGACATTACAGAATATCTGAGATCCAGTTCTTCTATGAACTTTCTGTGCCAACTCGAACCTCTCTCCTCCTTGATTTCCTGCCTATAAAACTCCTTCTCATCCTTTGTCTTGCCTGTTCCTACTATAAATGCTTTGGGGCAGGAATTGTCCTTCACAACACACTCGGCACTGCGTATAGAGCAACACCCCTAGCCTCTACTCCCTTTTACTGAGGAAAAGGGCTGAAGCAAAGTGAAGGAGAGTTGGTCAAGAATACCTGTGCCACAAAAACAGTTTCAGAGCTTCATTTTCAAATCAGTTTCAAATTATGTGGTTATAAGCATGACTGTAAGGAGAACATTGGTATGCAAAACATAATTCAGTGATTACAGGGAAAATGGTGGCCCATATACCTCAAAGGACAGTCTTCTGCAATTCAGAAAGGTTCCTGGAGTGATCTGACATATACTACAGGTCACACAACAGCACAAATTTGAAAGAGAGGGTTTATCCCTCTTGATGCAAATTCAGGACTGAGTTTGTAAATTCATCCAATCTACAAATGAGAAGAGGTATAGTCTCCTTTGCACATAATCTTTGTAACACCTTGTTTCTATGAACTAAGAATCACACAATACATAGCAACTAAAAGGAAACAGTCTTGTGACAGTACCCCCTTTATGCATTCATTTAACAGTCTGAAAATTCTTAAAGCATACAAACACCTTTAAAAACAGAAAAAGTCTCAGTAATAAGAAAAATACGTTATACAGACCTTGCCATAAGGAGTATCAACATATTTTTCTGTTCTTCCTTCTAAGATATCTGGATCATCCAGGCCAGTTCCACCAATAATTCCGATCTTACACAGAAAAGTACATATTAGGCTTCTTGAGATTACACTCCATTTAACAGCATGTCTGAAAAACTAACTAGGCAGCTACAAAATCTATTTTCTGCTTGAGACAGAGCTAGACTACAGATCAACAAAACATAATATGCCCAGCACAGTTTCTCAGAAAAGAAATTTCAAATGACTGATTTTAAACAACTGTATTTAACCTGCCAATTTCTTATACTATGATTCTCCTCTTTAAAGATATCAAATTAAAAAAGCTATGGAAAAAACACAAAGATGTGCCAATTCATCATTTATTCCCAATATAAAAATGAAGGGTGTTACTTGGGAATGCCTTTAATGAGTGAGAAATACCTGTATAAAGCATATTATAACAAAGGCTTCTTGTTTCCATGGGGAAAAACAGTCCACTACATAACCGCCATACTGAATACCAGGCCTTACTATATAGCATTATACAGACAAAATAATGAAGACCTTTTTTTTCTCCAAAAAATTAGGGTTTTTTGTTGACCTGCCAAGATCTAAGAACTTCCCCGTGTCTGTAAGTAGTCTCTGTACAGCTTCTGAAAAGGGCGACAGCTCAATACCATCTTCACAAGTGAAATAAAAAGAATCTGCTGACAATTTCACCTGCTGTGAGCACTGCTGCATTTCTTCACGTATTTACAATTAGGTCGCCTCGTACCAAAGAAAGTACGCTCATTCAAATTTTGCCTGCAGCTGGGTCACTAATTGTCTCCTGTGTAGACACACTGGTGTCAGGTTTTATTCGACTCACAACCTTTCCCTAAGTAGACACTTAACAGACTCTTGCTCCTCCTTTTTTTTTTTATGAAGCCTTTTCAAGTACTTTTTTCCCAAATTTTTATGAAATTGACTAACAGTTTCAAAGGATAATGGAAAGGGAAAAGAGAGGGCAAAGCAAAGGGCCTGTTAAACAAAATATATTTTATTCCCTTAGGAAATCAGGCTAAAAGTCCTATGTTGTGTTTTGATACAACTTGTAGTGAAGAAGCATGAAGTCACTCACAATTACCACCTAGCTGTCATGCTTTAATAATCACTGATTTCTTGTTCTTGCTCATTGCTTATCTGTTCTACTTCTTTTATAAAAAAGGGGAAAGAAAAAAAAGGTAATTTGAAACATATATTCTCACGGAGACTAAACTCACCTGTGATTTCATACTCCAGCTAAAGAAAAATGCATCTGAATTTTCTTGTTTCTAGTTCATTGGAAAGTATCTTGGCTTTGCCTTTCTAGGGATAATTCCATTTTCAATCAAGTCAAGTTTTTTCTTGAGTTCAGAACATTTCTAGCTCTTTGGATGGAATGGGTACTGTCAGGCCCTTCACAACTTCAAGCTTAGTAATGGTATTTAAAAATAATGTCACCACTTATCACAGGCAGAGAAAATGCCCATGTTTCTTTTTTCTTCAATGCAACCAGTTGTTGCAAAGTTTGTCTCACTTTTAAGCTGAAGAATTCATATCATGGCTGAGTTGCTTATCACGGAAAAAAACATTGGAACCATTCTGCCATGACTTACTACTGCATGGTTCCACCATTTTTCATTATTTTTAAAGACAGAAAATTTCTCAAGTAAAGAAAAATCAAGACTTCAATGTACAACACCCCCTTCCACAACACACACCTACTGCCTCTTACTCTAGCTTTTTCTTAACTTCCACATTCACAGGGACCTCATTTGTTCAACGGCTATATTAGTTGGCTCATCAAGCATTTCGTTTCAACAAGCAGAGACCCTGTGGTCTTCGTTACACACAAAACATTTCTCTGAGAAAGCTTTCCACATCAGATGGTGTAAATGCTGATACACTGACGTAGTTTTAACAGATCTCATATTTCCTTTTGCTACCCCCCTGTGGAGCACGAGGAGTAGTACAAAGGAAAATACCAGTAAAAATCCACAAACTCCAACCCTGAATATACTTAAGCATTAGGGAAGACATAGGTGATTATTTGCAGTAGTACTGATGGGTCTGTTCTCATGTTGCTTATTTATCACAAATGTTCCGATTGTTAGATTGCTCATGAAAATCCTGAAAACTATATAAATTTTAGGATGAACAATTTTTTGCCTTAAGAATCATGTAAGAAGTGTGCAACAGGAGCAATCATAAAACTCAAAATCAACAAAAGACCATCTTTAACATTGTTCATGCATGACTTAAGATTGAGAATATTCAAAAGGGAATGCTTATCTGCGGGAATTTTTATGTCTGGCAAAGTGAAAGTTGTTGGGACTGAGGACAACAGTGCAATGCTGGAGATACCAGCTACAGCTACATGACATAAAAGTTATTTTGGAACTGCAATGCTTTAAGGTCCTTACAAACACACAGATCCAGCACTGTTAACAGACTGTTCCTGTACCAGAAAGCAGCATACCCAATCTGTGGCAGCACAGAGCTCAGCCCGTTCATGGCAGCACAGGCCTGATGAGGTTGCTTTCAGATTTGCTCTTGGGCTCCCTACTCCTGCCGCTGCAGCAGCATCAATATGTGCTTGTGCTGCACACTTCAGTTCCAGAGCAGGCTTTCACACCAACAGCCATGCTGTCAGAAATGGCAGCAGCACAGCGAGCTAGCAAAGTATTCACAGGTCCCAAGGTGGAGAACCCACAGCATGGAAGAAGAGCTAGACTACCTTGAATTTGCTTTTGTCTTCTTACTCCCTGCAAAACACCTTAGAAGCAGTTTGGTCAACCTTCAAGCCACCTTAGGCAACACTGGCTAGAGAAACGCCGGGCTCACTGTAATTCACAAGAGAGCTACTACAGTTCTATTACAGGAAGTTAGGCCGGCAGAGATTTGTTGAAGCAGCTGCTTCTCCAACCATGTAATGCCAACTCAGAGCTGGCAGCACCAACCCTAAAATTAATTTTATCTCTCTGCAAAAGAATTATTTTTCCTCCAGTTTACATAATCTCCAGGAATATCAGCTGCATCTTGGGGCTGGAGACCCAAAAATCTGACTCTATATTAAATTCTGCTTTACAGACTTTCTAGTGAATTATCAAAAGGAATGCAGCTGCTCTAGGCTCAGTGGGGAAATACCCTGCCAAGGGAGCTGAGGTCTATTTCCACCCAGCAGCCCAGGCATTGAAGGCAAGGAATGACAGAGAAGAGTTGACTCAGGGAGAATAGTCTCACCTTTCCTCAAAAGGCAGAGACAGTCACATCTAGGAGTGACCTCAAGAATGGAGAGATGCAAGACTGTATGCTCCATTCCAGACTTTGCATCCTACAAAGGGATATGAAGGACATAACCTGTAAAAATTAATGGAGGCTGTAGCTAAGGTTATCTGGAATTAAATCTAAAGTAAAATGGCATTGCAGTGCAATGAAATGAACTATTTTACTATGGCATAGTCCATCTCAAACATTGGGATGGAGAGCAACAAATGTGAAACCTAACAAAAAGTTATCACACCAGTAACTACAAAATCAAAAGCATTTCTCTGTGGGAGTCCAAATAATGATCACACTTAAGTGCACGCCTTTCTTCACCTGCTGTTTGGTGAAGCTCCTCGAATAGGTTCAAGCACATGACACCGAATTATCAGTGCAGTAACAGTCTACAGTTGTCCAGCTGAGGGTCTTAAACACTAGTACATGTTAAGCATTGTCATGATCAGCTACGAGTCTTTGTGACAACTAACAACCAATGAATACATCTGTATTCCTCTCTTCTACTTTGGGGATAATGAGGGGAGGATGGCATGAAAAAGACTTTCATTTAAAAGGAGATAAACAGCAAGCTGCATACAATTTACACTTAAGAGAATAAACCCATCTCTATAAAATAGAGACAGCTTGTAACAGATTTCTATGCACCAAAACAACTAGGAGAGTTACTTCACCTTAGAAAACTAATTCATATTTTGGTCAAACACAAACGCTGAGTTTCAGCCTAATTGGCCTGATCATCCCTGATGCAGGCCGTCACGTTTTGGAGCCACTATTTAAACACACGGGACGGACAAGTTTTCGGTGAAACTTTTGTACCGGCTCACTTCTGCTACAGCTTCGGGATTTGTGCACCCAACGACAGTTACAAACCCGCCCCGGTCCCTCACTGACAAATCCCACACACCGCAGCCGGGTCGGTAACCCCGAGAAACAGAGGCCTCCGGCTTTCATTTAAAAAAAAAAAATAAAAAAAAAAAAATTCGCCTCTTCCGGGAC